GCCTATAAAAAGTCGTGCGGAGCTACGCTCTGGGGAACGGGTGATCGGTCGTTGAAGTATAAACGTGATTTGTTATCTGTTCTTATATCGCCAAGAATTGTGTGCAGAGATTATGTTCCTTTTGTCTTATAAATGTTCTTTTTAAAAAGTAAATTCCTTACGGATATTCTAGAGTATAACATAATAGTTTGAGGGAAAAAAAGAGGAAACCTAAGGAGTTTCTTTGCCTGTTTCTTCTCCGTTAGAGGAACCTCATTACGAAACAGTGGCAGATTTAGAAAAAAAAAACTCGATAGATTAAATATAAATATTTCTTACGTTATTGAATACTTGTCTTGTATCTTGTATTAACTGATGTTTTTGCTTTCAGTCCCGAGACTATTAAAGCTTCATCGGACGCAGAACCGGTGGGCTAGCCTCAATGAATAAATGATTTGATTTGGTTTGATTTCGAGAACGGTACGTCAACTTGGACAGCATTACAGGTTTAATACGTTATCGTATACACCATGGATATGTTTTAGCGTATCCAAAGTGTATAATACGACAATGAAGTTCACTGGTCCCGAGGGAATCTCATTTCCAAGTGACGCCAATGCGGAAGCTACCCATAATAACTTTTCCGACGAATGGAAATACGGAAAATTTATCTTGTTCTCTGTCGCGCGAGATGAATGCCTATTGATATTTTTATTGAATGATATTGCGTATGGATACTCTTTTCTTTTCGAAAACGGCTAACCTTAAGATTATTTAAAAGCCGAATGAGATGTATCACTTTCAATATTCATTACTTGTCATTTTAGATTTATTAGTATAATAATTTTCACTGAAGACACAGGAGTAAGAAGAAGATGTCCAAGGGCGGCGGTAATCACTTACCATCGGGTGAGCCTCCTGCTCGTTTTCCGCTTTTTTTCCCATCCAAGCTCCTGCCCTTATACCACACCTTTCTTCCTGTCCTTTCGGATCCCTTCTGGTTGGAGTTAGTATTCTAAAATTACATTTTACATGAAAATGGCTTTAACCATCAGTAATTTTAAACAAAAAGAAGGAGCTTCATGTGTGTGTGCTCTAACCTGCCGTGTTACTCCTGAAATTCGATTCCAATTTGTTTTTGTTTTCGATTCGAAATCACTCTTGATTCGAACTCGAATTGAAAATCTTACTCCCGAACCGAATCGAAACTAGAAACACAACCGTGCGTTATCAAATCCGTTAACTGTATCTGGCCTATTACGTCACAGACAAATGTTCCATGTTTACGGTTATAACATCTTTCTTAGATAAAATGTTGATTGTTTAATTTTTTTCGATAAATTATCCGATCTTAGTTAGTTCCAATTAGAGCCACTACTCGTTTGTGCGCTGGCGTCAGATTCAGTGGTACGAACTGCCACGAATTCGAGTCAAATTCCATTAATTCAGAACACGAACCCGTCGGGAGTAGGCAGTCTGACTTATTAAAAACTCACAAATCGGTAAAGTCGATTGCTATCAATAGTTACGGCATTTTCATGCATTAACTTTTCTTAGAGTGCCTCTCAAAGCATTTTGTTAATAAAGTACTAAGGAATAAGGTTGAAATTTTAACGAAAAGTTTGCCGTTTTTACGAGGCAATAAGTAAACTTGCCCAGGCGGAAGGCACGATAAGTGCACGCTTTAATCTAAACAGTATCAGGATAGCGTAAAACATGGCCCAAGTATTACAGAGATGTATATTCTTGTAAGAAGCTAATAAAATCTACCGTACGTACCACTGATTGAAAAAAATGCAATATGTATTTAATCTTTTTCTTCTTTCTCCTGACCTTAACTCTCTGAATTGGGGTTAGCACAATATAAGTATCCTGTTGTTAATAGTGTTAAATAGATTTTTACGACCAGCCACCTGCCTGACGTCAACCCTCCTTGGAAACAAACAGCTAGACGTGGAACAATTATCTGTGAGCCACACAAATACTTGCCCCGGGTACAAACGGAAACAAACCCACGACACCCGGTAGATAAGCCAACTTGTAATTTCTATTTGAGATTTAAAACCGCACTACAGAGCCATCGCAACTTGTATTGAATACTAATAAAACCAGTTTGATAAAAATACCATTCAAAGGTTCAACCTAAGCTCAATGGAATATCACTTGTTTATTTTAAAACACAAAAAGAAATATCCAATGATCAATGCAGATAAATTGAATAATGGGAATGAGTTTAGTTTTAAAGACGTTTAGAAACTAGTCCGTATTATGTACGGTCTGTAAAATTAACGTAACGTAACGTAACGATGTAACCATAGCAGCATAAATACAGAAAGCTCAGATTTAATGGAGCATTTGGTGGTGGTCAATCAATCGCTCAACATACGGCATGATACAATTGAAGGCGTAAAATCAATCCAACATGACTCCTGATGACCCTTCAATTTATTTAGAAAATCTATCGCGAAACAACTTTGAACGATATTTTTGTAGTAATGCCACAAGTCAATGGAAGTCGATGTCAAGGTGATCGAAATATAAGTAAATTTGTAATTATTTAATTACATATTTAATTTTTAGGGTTTTAACCAAAATGTGTTCTAGTTTGAATAAAATTACCAAATAAAATGACAAAATATGGTAGAAAGGTCTTAATTTAACAAAATTGCTATTCCAGTCTACTCGTTCCACTGTGGAAAGGCTACACAGCTGCTGCTGTCCTCTTGCATATATAGGCAGAGTTATCAAGGGAATAGGAAGGGAAGTGAAAGTAGATTTTGCGTTTTGTTTTGTGTGTAAGGGGACTACAAAGATACCTTCTATTACCAGCATGTCTGAAAGCCCGGTAACAATTGGCGGTAATCAAACATCAGAGAAATCTGACTTGCTCATAACAAAAAAACAAGTCAGATTGATTTTTTAAACCGTAGCTTATTATAACTAACAGTCATTGGTCATTGGGCACAATGTTGGCTTTAGTGCAAAAGAAATTTCAAGCCAATTCCATTTCCACACTTTGTATTTGAAGCGGAGTCACGGATTTAAACAGGGTTAAGCGTTTTTGTTCGCAACAAAGGTAAGATGTCCGTTAGATAGAGTTGTCGGGTCACCGTGATAATGTGGAATAATGGGGCGAGCGGGCCGGGGCAGCGGGAGATAACGCGGCCGCAAAATAGAATCAGAGTTTATAGGACTTTGCGAGGGAACTTAGCGCTCATTGAAAGGAATTGGGCTAGTTTAAAAAACTTGGGACGGAGCGGTGGGACGCAGGTTGCACGGAAAGTTTTAAATTGATTTCGGAGCGGGCTCCGCGAGCGTGACATTAATTTGGTTTTATGGGGCGTCCCTGTATTTATTTGGGGGTCGAGGAGTGAAAGAGCTTGTATGTTACCATTCCGACGTAACCTTTTAACAATGAAACTATATATTAGTTTATATTAGTATACAAGAAATGATCACGTACTGTTTATGTTTGTACTGTTTTGATTTTTATTTTCTTTACTACAAATATACACTATTTTGTATGGAGTCTGCCTAAGTTTAAGCACTCATGCTGATGATTTTAATTATTTTTATTTAAATTTATATTATTTTTATTTTAAATTTATGAAATTTACTTTAACAATTGCTCCTTGATTCAATCACGATACCTCCTAAAGTGGTAAAAGTACCTTTCCTTAATATTTATGGAAAACATTAAAATAAATAATCACTGTAGCATTTAATAAGTAGTATATTATTCCATTTGTTTTAAATAAACAAATATTAAATGATATGATCTTTTTATATGCGGACACATATGTGTAAGGAAGTAATAGCTTAACTTTTATTTTAACAATTAATATTGCAATGCAGTATTTGAGTTTTATTGATACGCATTCTGTTTTAAAATCCATAAACAACGGAAGCTCATGCAGTTATCCCTGATACATCGATCAGTCTCTGTCAGGCTAAGCTTCAATATGATGAATTTATTTTTTATCTCACCATCGCAGAGATTTAGTTTTTTCCTGTAGTTAATTAATACACTAACAAAGGGTTTCATCTATTCTCGTTTTATCTAAATTTAGACGCCAATATCTTATATAGTTCACATTGCTGTATTTAAGTTGAATGCAATAACTTATATTGTTTAACTTTATGTGTGCTATCTAAGAATATATTTATAGACTTTATTCCTTTTTTTTAATTTGATAAGTTGTAAAGCGACTAGGCTTTTCATCTGGATACCGTCACTCATAGACATTTACATCACCTGAGGAATTGCAGGTGCGTTAACAACCTTTAAAATAGTGGGCCCCGGTTACCTCCCACCCACTTTCTGTCGGGGCCTACTTTATTAAAAGGTGGCAACGTATTCGGTTGTTGCAAATCTCCATGGGCCGCGGTTATCACATCAGTTGAACCATCAGCTCACTTGCCACCTTCTCACATAAAAATAATGGGAGGGATTATGCAGTAGTTGCCATGCCTGGTGGGCAGGTTGGCGACCGAAGAAGCTATGTTCAGCAGTGTGACAGGCTGACATGATGATGATTAAAATTAAAATATTTGGAAAAAGTGCGAAAAGATGTCACCGTTGTGGGAATCGAACCCATGTCTTCGGCATTCGCGGCCTGACGCTCTAGCCACTGAGCTAAACGGCTGATTGCCACACCGACGAAAATCTTAACGCATTCTTCTACATTGTTTTCTTAGCATTTGAAGCAATGCTTGGCGCCATCTATGGTTATATCCTTTCCAGCATACAAAAAATTTCGAATTATCGTTTTACAACGATAATTCGAACGAGAGATGTCGCCATTGCTTTTTTAGAAATTTAAATTGTTTATAGTGGTAATCTTTGCACTTAAGATTGAACATTAAAATATGTAGAAAAAGTGCGAAAAGATTGTCGCCGTTGTGGGAATCGAACCCACGTATTCGGCATTCGCGGCCTGACGCTCTAGCAACTGAGCTAAACGGCTGATTGCCACACCGACGAATGATGATGATGTAAAAATTGTTGTATTTGTACTTACTTGTTATACAGCACGATGTCCGGCAACCATATGTGTTCTGAAGGCACGTGTAGCGTGTCCACACCACCGTAATCGTCCGGATTCCACTTGAGCTTGTAGTCATTCCACTCCTGCAAAGATTGCAAGCTTGTACAATCATGGCTCAAAGGACGCCCTAAAATGGGATACGACTGACTTAGTCATTTGCTAAGAAGTTGTGCTACGCTTACAGGCCTATGATTTCTCATTATGTACATCGGATTGTATATTTTGGATCAATAGAACAATAAAATCAACAAAACTCAAGAAGAAGCGATATTTTACGCTTTATCAACGTTCAGAAAATGTACACCTCACTGCACATACAAGTTGGATACATAAATGTGAAGGTTTGCATAAGTAGTGAGTTTGATTCGTATTCACTGCGTAATTGCCGAAATTATTTAAATTAAATTTTAGAGGTAATTTACGAGCTACTTTTGTGTGTTGATTAAAAACAAAAGTCAAATAATCTTTTATCCTATAACTAATCACTTTTTAAGCTAGGTTTTATATCGATGATTGGTATCTTTTTGGTATAAATGTGATTCATGATTATTCCTTTTCCCCTAGTAAGTAGGACTTAATTGAAGGGTAACTAATAAAACTTTTAATACCCCTTAGAGATTTATATTTCATAAAACATCTGCTAAAATATTTGATGAAATTATAAAATAGTTGATAAGAAAAGAAAGAAAAGTGCGAGTATAACATTTGTTTAAAAAGACGAAGAGTTTATGAGAGTCAAACTTCATCCAATTACTTTTCATCTGAATACGTAGATGATACTGACTCGCAAAGCAAATATTCAACCTTCATATTTCATTGCAGACGTTGAATCTTACCTTTTGATTTCATGCTGGTAGTTAAAGTAGTGAATGTATGAAAGATAAACGAAATGCAGAATATCACTGTGCCCGCCCCGGCAAGCGAATTTGAAGAAACAATAGAGAATAGATGAATATTCATGAAGCAATTTCTGCTAACACGTATGAGTTCGTAATCCGGGATGAACAGACTAATTAATGGATTCTGTCAGTAAAATGTACGCAGCTTAACATAAAACTAATTTCCAAAGTTAATTAAGATAGCGGAACTATGCGCTCATTGAGGAGTTAAATATCCAAGACAGTCTCAGTAGGGATTTCTTGGAGTAAAAAATAAAATTGTCACCGCTTAATCAGCGGAATGGTTGTTCTCCGTATTTTTAAGGAACAATCGATTCAATCTTTTACCTACCGTTCCAGCGATGAATTATTGGGAGCTCACAAAAGAGGAAAATGTAAATGTTGCGCCTTTTGGCGATACGACGAAGAGCCGCTGCGTGTTGCTCGAATTCCATTTAACATCGGATTTTCATTTGGTTCCGGGGCGACCTTAAAGGCATTCTTTAGCGGGGGTTTTTGCCGCGGGCGCGTGGTGGCGGGACCGTTTGCTTAGAGCCGCGGTTGGGCGACGGAAATTGCGGTGTCTTATTAGTTTCCGGCCTGGGGCGCCGTCAATTGGAAGTGCGGGGCCGTAAGTGAAAATGGACTCATTTTTCACTTGTGCCCGGCACCACAAGTCGGGTCCTGACCTCCCCCCGTCCTAATGCGGTTACATTTTAAGAGAGACAAATGGAGCGCCTCCCCCCCCCCCCCCTACTGACGCCTCTCCTTCGTTTAATTCCAAGAAAGGGATTTATTTCGACGCCACCGTTTTACTTCTTATTGATCTCGATGTGTAACGTTAACTGCTCTGTGGCGTTTGGATCACGGATCTCATTATTTGGAAAAACATTAAATTCTAAGAATATATTTGTATTTTAAAAGGGAAGTTCGTAAGTACACCTAAATAAATTGTGAACAGATTCACTTGATCGTGAAATATAAAATTATGTATATTTGTATTTGTGTTTTTATATTTTTGTAGATTTACATGTATATTATATATTAATGTTGCATTAAATGGTATTGATGTGATAGCTGATTGTCCAGACACTCGTTTTTAATTCAATATACTTGAGCAACCTGAGTTCAATACCCGGTGAAGGCACCAATGAAATTGTTAATATTAAGTGCTGACTTATCACGTGCTCAGTGGTAAAGGATCAGGAAAAAAAATCGTGACGAAAGCTGCATATTTTCGAAATAATACGAAAAATATTCTAGAGTTGGCTTTCCTCTTTGAGAAAAGCTTTGAAGCCTATCAACGTTAATAGTAGTAGTGGATAGTGGATCTGAAGCTAATATACTAGTGGAAATAACTGTATTGTGATATAATGTAAACATAACAGTGTACATGAATATGAACAGGTCAGTTTTTTAAATTTTAATTCAAATTTTCTATTTTTCATTACAATAATGTAAGCAAAGTTTAATTCGTAAACTCTTTATGAAAACGCAGTATATTTACGTAACAGTAAAATCGGGTCTCTACCACACGACTTCATATGTCGGTCGTTTATTAAGCTCGCTTCAACCGTAACGAATTTTAGTTGAACGTCAAACGAATATATCGGAAATGAAATATTATTATTTGCGTTTTGAACATACGATTCAATGTAATGATCGAATTAATGTTTCACGTTTATCGCATAGTCCGACCAGATTTCAAAGTTGATGATTTAACGTTGATCTTGAAATCGATAAAAATGAAACGTTACAGTCTATGCTTTTTTGTAGTCTGTTGAATACAGACTACAAAAAAGCAAGTGGTTCTCAATTCGACTGCATTTTTTCGATTTGTATGATTTTTTTTATTTGAAAGTTGGTGTTTCGCATGTGGTCCCATATAAATTTTATTGGTATTGGATCTTGGGCTCCGGATATACTTAGGAAACTCCTGAAAATCAATTATAAAATGAATACAGTGCGAGATATTTTGAAGTCGGATTTGTTTTTCGATAGTAAAAAAAATGGACTTGTATTTCAAGTGTATCAGGGCATAGTCCATCACGCGGCCCCACTGCGGATTGGCGGACTTCACATATGTTCGAAATATATATTTTTTTGTTATGATTTCGAAAATATGCAGGTTTCCTCACGATGTTTTCCTTCACCGCGGAACACGTGATAAGTCAGCACTTAAAGTTAAAAACTTCATTGGTGCCGGCACCGGGGGTCGAACTCAGGTTGCTCGAGTATATTGAATTAAAGGCGAGCGCCCGGACACTGAGCTATCACGATGTGAAATGAATGAGTAAACTTAGAGATATATAGACAAGGAAATCTCGTTAATTCTACTTACCCCTTGTGGTGACAGAGGTGTGTTATATTTTATAAGCTAGCCCACTGTTCGCTAGCTCATAAAATAATCAATAATTTTTTACATAATAAGAATCTAAAAAATATAGTAAGTGTCCAAAAAAAGTATGCTGTATATAATACGAATTATGTTTTATAATTAAATACTGAACATTTATTTTAAGGTACAAATGGTACAAGCTTATTGTTTAAAGCTGATTAGTCACTTATCCATTTTGAAGGCACTTCAATTTAAAATTAAACGAGTAGAAGCCGAAACATTTGACGAGTTGGAAGTCTTGTCACGTGTCAAATGAAAATTGTAAGAAATGTACTCACAATTAAGACGGAAGTCTCGGAGTGAATTAAATTCGGAGACAGTTTGGCCGACAAACAGAGCGACTCGAAAATTTCGGCCGAAACGGTGCGGAATCGCTTGCTGCTCCAGTACGGAACTCAATTATTATTTTGGCGAGCTTGCTTGCGAGGTCGTGTTAGACGTAATTACAATCGCCTAAACTCAATTAAAATTCGTCTACGCGGCTCTAATTCAAAGGCTGGCTCTGTAAATAAACTCGCAGCAGGTCTGATGTGCACTCGAATGTGACGGTAAGTGCGCACGGCTACCCGAACTCACTCTCCCTAGAAAACTTGCGAAAGAATGAAGGTTGGTAAAATAAAAAAATAAAAAAATCATTCGCTAAATTCAACGCCAAAATTCGAATATATTCCGAGCTATTACGCAACTACAACGCGGTGGTACGAGTAAAGGAAATTAAAAGTGTTCTGTTTGTTTGAAGTACAGTTTCCGCTAGTCAAATTTAATTTAAGGTATTGATTTGCGCCTTTCATTGCCTAAGGATTTCTATTACACACAGAGTCCGGAAGCAAAAAGTCTTCGAAGGTATGATTAGAGTTTGTGTTCACTTGTCAGTAGTCTTATTTGTTTTCAATTGTATGTATGTTAACATACAATTGAAAACAAATAAGACTACTGACTATATAGTCAGTCAGTAGGGAATGAATCACCCACAAGATGAACATTTTACTAAATTTGTGCACGCATTCAATTACTACTATGAACATGAATTTTGACAAGAAGTGAGTATCATATAAAACAAATTTTACATTATACACACAATTTAAAGTTTGAACGATTACAATTTTAAAATATGTAAGTTGTATCAATTGAAAATGTCTGTAAATGGACACGGGAATGAAATAAAACTTTTAATAAAAAGATCCTTTCAAGAGGCGCGTTGGTAAATTCACCAGAAATCCTTTGAAACAAGCAGAAATTAGGGTCAGATGAAAGTAAAAAACATCGTCGACTAAAATGTTTGTTTCGCTGTTTACGAAAACTGTTTGGAGTAGGGCTTAATAAATGGAGATATAATTTTGTGTAAATATAAGACGCGGCAAAACCAAGTATTATGTAACAAAAAGGCCTTTGTTGTTCTGTATTAGTATTGAATTATTTTTATCATTTACATATCATTTCAATGATCATTAAAATTATGTTGGTGTATATAAAAATTCTAGCTGACGCGGCAAACGTTGTTTTGCCATATAAATTAAAAAATGTTTGGGGTGGACCATCCTAAACATTTAGGGGGATGAAAAATAGATGTTCTCCGATTCTCCACCCTGGCCGATATGCACACAAAATTTCACGAAAACGAGTAGAGCAAACTTCATGGGGTACCTTGTATTAACGTTCCATATATATGTAATGTTAAAACATAAGACAATCGTGTGAAGATGTGGAATGTGAGCCTGGAATAGTTTTGACACTGTAAAACAGTAATACAAAATCGTACATGCTTATTTTAATCTTATCTTTTTATTTTAAGTTTGCGGAATACATACATACCCCCATGGCGGGGGAAAGAGTTACAATTTTTCACCTGCACAAGTAATGATACTCTTTAAGGGCAAAAACATAAAGATTCATAAAAATCAGGTCATTATTTACAATTAAACAAATCAATGAGTAAAAAAATACAAATGCAGAAAATTAGGCTTTGCGCAATAATCAAATTATTACACCCGGAAAAGGCCTCATCTAAAATCCCACAAATGATGAAATTCGAACTCTGTGCCCAAATTGGTCATTGGCAATTGGTCAATAATTTGACAATGACTACAGAGTTTAAAATTCCAAAGTTATCGGAAAATTTTTAGCGGCTCAAATTAATCCTAGAGATCGGATGTAAAATTATTTCAATAGGTCACAAAATGGTATTAATTGATCAATTAATTTTAATGGTCATTTATTTCGACTATTACGTATTGTAAACTAACTTTTTCTGATTAGCACCTCAAAATAATAAATTTGCAAAATAAGATCCTAAAAGGTTACCAAACACGCAATTGGTCAGAAGCTTGTAACAATATATTGGTCAACAGTATAAAAAGAAACAGGAGTTTAAAAATTCACCATAGCACCTCAATATGATCAGATGAACTGCCTTCAAAGACAAAAAAATTGTTGCAACAACTATGCAAAAGGTCAGAGTATTCCGGCAATTGGTCGGCATTTAGTGGTTAACAATTGGCAGTAATTTGAAAATTTAATGCCAACCTAAGGTCCGATTACAAGATTTCGATTAAAATTCGATTAAATTTCGATTA